TTTTATGTAATTTATAATATATTAAATAAGCTTTTATAGCATTTTCTGTTTTATATAAGCAGAAATACATTTTTTTGTGTGTCCTTCCCTGAAATTTAAAATTTGCTAGTTTATAATAGGTCATTGAGAAGTAATACTTGAGTTACTTAACTAAAGGTCTTAGAGGTAAAAACTTTAGCTTTTTCTAAAGTCATGTGGCTTGGTTTACTATTTAAGAATTTATTTCAGTGAGCCCTTGCCTTCAAGGCAAATTATATAGAAAACAAAATTAACTCTTTAACTTAATAATTGAAGAGAAAATTGTTATTTTAACAATAAGAAACTAAATTTGTTTCATGTTATTTGATATTAATATAATGTTTGTTTTGTTTTTGTAAATTAACTTATCAAACTTATAGCTAGACAGGTAAAATTTTTTATTATATATAACCTTCAATTTTTTCTTTACTGCATCTCTTTTGTAATATAACCTTTTACATGACAAAACTGAATATATTCATTACTAGACAAACATATGTATGTGACATAAAGAGTAAAAGCTTTTAAATTTTAATTAGAATGAGTTTTTATGAAGTTAATTTACTATCTGTAAGTTATCCCAAAATCTTGGAAGACAATTTGAGCGTATATGTCATAAAAATAATTATTGTTGGGATCAAATTTGTCTAAATATTCTATATTTTTATTTAAACTCTTATTGTAGTTTTAATATATATATATTTAAATCTAACCTTAGCTTTGTCCAAGGGATTTTATGTGACTGACTTACTTAATTTTTGGTAACTATACTAAGGAGCTCTGGTAGCATAGTGGCTACAAATCAGGCTGCTAACCTCAGGGTCGGCAGTTTGAAACTACCAGCTGTTCCACAGGAGAAAGATGAGGCGTTCTGCTCCCGTAAAGATTTGCAGCCTCGGAAATCCTGTGCAAGGTCACTAGGGGTCAGAACTGATTTCACGGTACTTAACAACAACAAAAGCAAACAGTATTTTTCTTATTTTAAATTTTCTTGGAGTTGTGGTGTGGTACTGTAGGATCAGCACTGGACTGCAAACCACAAAGATAGCAGGGTAGGACAAACCACTCTAGGAAGGAACCGATTGAGAAGAGTTCATCAAGGCAGTTGTAGGCAGCTGGAGTACAGTTAAACTCATTTTCATTCATTGAGACATGGGTTGATTACAACTAGTATTACAGAATATTATACACAGATCAGGCAAACATTTTTTGAGGGGAATTGAGGATCGTCTAAGAATCGACCAACCACAAACTGTTCATTAGGGCAGCTGTTTCATGAAACTTAACAAAATAACCTACTAGTACATGTCATGAGAATGGTGCGGGACTGGGCACTATTTTATTCTGTTGTACATAGAGCCAGTATGAGTCGGCATCAACTCAACAATACCTAATCACAGCAGCCTTTCATGTGTAAAATAGATTGCAAAGCTTGAGAAGGGGATTTTGCAGAGAGCTCATATCTGAGGTTGGGAGCATGGTGATTCTATAGGATAAGCATTGGACTGCGATCCATGAGGTCAGTGGTTCAAGTCTACCAGCTGTTCCCCAGGAAAAAGCAAGGTTTCTACTCCCCCAAAGATTTATAGCATCTGAAACCCTATACAGGTTGGCTATGAGTCTGAACCAACTTAATGGCACTTAACAACAACAACATATTTGGGTCAAAATGGAGTCACTTTTGCTCCTTTGACATGATTTCAGACTAGGCCAAGAGTCAGTTTTTTATACTTTTTCTTGTCCTCAGGATGACACAGGATTGGTGGTGGTGGTGGTGTGCCGTGAAGTCTGTTTTGACTCATAGTGACCCTGCACATGGTTTCCGATGCTATAACTCTTTACAGGAGCAGAAAGCCTCATCTTTCTCCTGAGAAGCAGCTGGTAGTTTCAAACTGCTGACCTTGAGGTTAGCAGCCTAACTTGTAACCACTATAATACCAGAGCTCCTTGACACAGGATTGATTAGGCAATATTTTATACTGTTGTATATCGGGTCACCGTGAGTTGGAGCTGACTTGACAATACCTAACAATAGTGTTTTGATGGGCTTAAGGCAAAGTAGAGCCTTTTTTACAGGGGTTTAGGAAAGGAAGTGATAGGTATCGAAGAGTCCTTAGAGGGGATCGGAAGTCAGGAGACCTGATCTGAAATGCTGGCCCATCCACTTTTTTTCTAAGGACAAAACTGAGATCATTGTGTGGAATGTTGCATCTGAAAATCTGGCTACTCACCTTGGTTGAAAATCAAAACTGCTTCTCTGTATCAGAGTGACCCACATCACTGAGAACTTCCAGGCTGGAGGGCGATCTTCCATTCCAACTGACATGATTTCAAAGAACAGAGTTTCGAGATCAAGGTTCCTCAGCACTGTATCCCTGATGTTAACAACAGCAGATTTTCTATGCTCATAACACAGAATACACCAGTGAACTTTTTGTTACTCCCCTTCTTGTTCAAAGGTGAAATGACCCAGTGATGCTCTCAACTGTTTGCTTATTGAGATGTTGTTCAGTCAGCTCCAACTCAATGTGACTTTGTATATAACAGAATCAAACATTGTCTAGTCATGTTTGGTAAGGTGGAGAGTCATAGAAAAAGAGGAAGACCCCCAACGAGATGGATTGGCAAAGTGGCAGCATCAATGGGCTCAAGCATGGCAATGATAGGTTGGCCCAGGATTGGGTAGTGTTTCATGCTGCTGTGCATAAGGTCACTATGAGTCGGTACCGACTCAATGGCACCTAATAACAACAGTCCTGTACCGTCCTCGTTACAAAGAGTAACTCCATCTTGAATTAAAATGAATGTAGCAAGTTCCCTCTCGGGGCTCAGTAGATCTTCCACCAGGGAGCACCGCTTCCTAGAGGAGGGCACCCAGTTCTGAGACCTAGAGTTTTTCTATGTCTTGGTTACCTGCTAGCTGAGGCCTGGAAGTGTAAGGAGTTATAACTATTAAAGCTGCGTTGACTATTTGGTGAGAAGATCACACACACACACACACAGTGAGAGTTTGCATCATCTTTGGGACTCAGTGGGTAGAGGGATACTGGATTTCATCAGCTTGATAGGTGTTCAGATTACTGGTGTGATTGTTCTCTTCAATCACAAATTGACTGTTTCATATTACTATGCAGGCATATATCTTCTGTAAACAGAGCATGAGGACTTCTAGAAATACTCAGAAATTAGAATTATCTGCTCCATGACCAGTTTTTGCATTCAGGGCTTTCTTTTCTTAAATCTGAAATGAAGAGATGCTCACCAGAGGACCCTGAACTTCCCTCTCTGAGTTTCTTAGTTTTCTTTTCTGAAAAATACTTCTGATAATCCAAATATGATTCTGACTTACTCCTTTCTCCTTTTCCTTCAATACAAATCCAGTGGAGATCTCAGACTCGGCTCCCCCCGTGCCCTTGGTGAAAGAAGTCACGAAGAGGTTCTCCACGCCAGACGCTGCCCCTGTGTCAACAGAACCAGCCTGGCTGGCTTTGGCAAAAAGGAAAGCCAAGGCCTGGAGCGACTGTCCACAGATCATTAAGTAGAGAGGGACTCTTATCCATTCCTGGGGCCTGTTTTTGGCTCCTCTCTTGTCCTTTTTATTTATTTATTTTTTATACAAGGTTTCAAAACAAAACCAAGCTAGGTAAAGAAGCATGTCTCGTAGGCTTTAAAGTAATGCTTAGAAACTGAACTGACGGTGTTCACTGTAAATTTGCACAACCCTAGGTCTTGGTGCCTTGCGCTCCTCCTAGTTCTAGAGAAAATTTCATTCAAGGGACCACATGAAACAAAATTTCCAATCTAGGAATTCTTGACAAAAACCTGCCATGCCCATTCCTCTGTCCTCCCACACCCAATTCAGAACCCCTACTTTTGCCAATCTTTGTAATGGTTTTGTGATTCTCTACTCCAATTTTAAAAAACAAAACAAAAAAACATCTTTACCCTACTATCTGTTTGGGGGTTTCTACCCTTTCTACAATAATGGTGATAGGGTCACATATAATGGGAACAAGAATACCCATTTTTCTGAATACAGTGAGTACCAGGAATCATGAGAACCTGTCTGGTTTCCAACTCTGCACCCATGTGGTGTTCTTGAATTTTCCCCATCCTGAAGCTATCACATGAAAGGCAAATTCATTCACACTTTTACAATACTGTTGATCCTGTTTAAACACTTGGCCCTGTTGATTTCTAGAGAACATTGCCATTTAAATATCTTAAAGGAAATTCTGTATCCGCTATAAATTATATTTCCGTTGAGTTCTACAGATGACCAGATTTCACCCCAGGACTACTGAATCCGATCCTGTGAGGACAGGGCTAGGAATACATACATATTCTCATAAATGTTCTTCAGGTGAATTCTGCTATCTCTCAAAGGTTGAGAACCACTGATACTGATGCATTCTAGTTTTTTCAGATTCTGAAAGGGAAGCTCATTTCACCCAAAGATGCAAAAATGAAACAAGAAAAATAATAAAGTACCCCCCCCAAAAAAAGCATTGTTTATTAAAGGATAAAAGGGGCTCTCGACATTACATGTCTCTGAGAATGTCCTTCGGTGATCAGGGAACATTACCAGGAAGCCAAAATTTGGAGCCAGTGGACACAGGACTTCCTGCAGGAAAAAGGTTTTCTTTACCATAACTGTGTTTTCCATGCTTAGAGCCAGATTATTCAGTAGCATTTATCATTGAACTTGCTCCCTTTAATTAACATCTCAGAGTGTTAAGTGGACCTTACTCCCTTTAATTAACATCTCAGAGTTTGAAGTGGCCTTGTTATTGTGGATACAGAGAAGGGACTTGGCAGCTTAAAAAGTTGCATATATTCGCCTTTTATTTTCCTAAATTGACTTTACATGAAAACAGACATACCAGCAAAACCAGATTTTGCTGGTGCTAAATTTCTATTTCATGGTGTTGACATATTCCTCTTTTCTTAGATTCTGATTACAAAATATGCAGGCAAATCCTTTGCTAGTAGCAGGGGGACACCATCTCTTTTCCTCGCCTACAAAAACAAGTTTTATTAGCATCCATCATTACTTTCCATTGTGCCTACTCAATATGCACTGTATTAGTCTATCATATACTCTGAAAGAAAGATGACTGCAAAGCTATTTACCAAAACATTTTCTTTCTGGGAACAATAGCTTAGCCTCACTGTAGCAGCTGGAGAAATGTGGTTGAACTGGTTTTGAACTCTTGCCAGTTAGACTTCATATTATGTATATCAGATCTTCAGACTGTTAACAATCAATGTAACTGCAACTTTTAAAAAAAATTGTTATGGAAAGCAATTAATATTCCATTGCACATTGTCCGCATTGATGCGTATTTCTGAATCTTGTGTGTAGGTTTCAATGGTTTCCTCACACTATTATAAGGCTTTTTAATGGGACTCTTTCCACCTAGAGCCATGGAATTATAGCACTAATTCACATCTTCTGAATTGACTTTTCATTCTATAAGCTTTGGGTAATATCGCAAAAATGGCAGAAAAAGGGTTTGGGAATCAAATAATTAACAAAGTATGGTTGATAGTCAACTCTGAACTGATATATACAAAGCGGAAGAAATAGCTCAGTGAGAAATTTCACATCAAAATCTTGAAAAGATGAGTATATTGAGAAATGTCACATGCAGTACTTCTGACACCTTCTAAAAGTTACACATTTAACATTTCATGTAAAAATCACCCCAAATTTGCACTATATACCAATGAAGTGTTATTTTGGTTTAGTTGTGCTACAGTCTTTTCTGCTCAACAAACTGGGGAAATTATGTGAAAACATACAAAAATTTAAGACCTTTTTTGTTTTTTTAAATGAATGAATGCGATGTTAAACACGAGCTTAACTCTTTTTGTTAAATATACATATACTTCTACTGGCAAGTTATAGATGGTTAACCTCTGTTCATATCATAGACTTATGTATATAAAGCTAGAGTTCTTTTGTTTACTTTTTTAATTTTTCAAGTGCAATTGTTTCTTACACAAATATTAATTACTATTAAATTATCATTTTAGCCATTTATCAGCAAATGTATAGTATGTATTCATTGTCTCTTCTTGTGATGTTTAGTTTGCTTATTTTAAAGCAGAAACATTAGAGTTACAAGTGTCTTGCAATATTTTTTATCAACAATAAAAATAAGTAGAGACTTACAATGAAAATACCTTAGTGTGATTTTAATATTATTTTGAGATTTTGGTTGTATAAAGTTTTCATGTAAAATGTCCATTATTGAAGGGAAAAAAATCTTTCAATAAAAAATACCCACAAGATCTTCAACAATGGTGGAGTTTCTTTTTCATACTGAATTTTGTTAAAACTATTTTCAATGACTACAAGTGATCATGTTATATTTATGTAGCTTTTGTTGAACAAGATAAATTTCTAAGCATTTACTGTATTTTTTTAAGAAGCTGAATGTTTTACTTACTATTAAACGTTTTTATTTTCCTCAATGCTGTTACTTCAATGTATACAAATAGCACCAGAAAAGGCAAGTATATTGCAAAATCAAGACAACATTGTTCTCCAGGTGATGCTGTACAACTAACAAAAGCCTAACTCTCATTCATTTCCAGTGAAAAGATCATTGGGTATTCTGGCCCAAATTCAGGTATGGATATCAGCAATAGCAACACAATTATGTGAGACAAGATAATAATGTCACCCTTGAAATACATAATTTTTATTATTGTTGTTACATACTGTCAAGTCAGTTCTGACTCACAGCGACCCTGTATAGGGTTTTCAAGAAGCAACTGGTGGATTTGAACTGCCAACTTTGTGGTTTGCAATCCAGTGCTTAAACAGCAGCGCCACACCAGAAACCCAAGAACACAGAAAGGAAAGGAATGCCAGCAGATGCTGCCCTCTCAGCAGACAGGCGGGCACGCCAGTGTTAGCAAGCTGGCTTATAGCCCGTCCTTGCTCACTTGGTCAGCAGTTTGGGAGAGTCGCCCAAGTTTTAAAGGGGCACCATTTAAGCCCCCACTCCTCAATGCCTCAGACAGGCACCCACATCACACACAGATCAAGGAGCAATGCAGGTGTCCAAGTGCCAAAGGAAGTTTTCTGCTGCAGTTTAAACAGCCGCCCTCAATCTGGACATATGTTTGGTGTCCAACAAACTCCCTGGAAGCTGCGTTTTGCAAGCAGGAGCTACCCACTCGTGCAAAGAGGTGCAGAGCAGAGCTGTGCCCGGGCTGACTCCAGTCCTCCCCGAGGCGGAGGCAGTTCATCCAGCACACCTCTGCTCCAGCTCGTGTCGTTGTCGCTGGGCCTCTGGGTTCATAAGACAGCAGGCAGCTCTCCCAAACTGTTGTTATAATTTTAATAACTATTCTTAGTTACCACAGGCAATTTCATGAATTTTGAATATTATAACTAGGTCCTAACATGAAAATCAGTGTGTGTTGTGAAAAAGATGTCTATTTATCTGCAATCATTAGAAATCTAAGGAGTACTTTCTTCCAATAAGCACAGTTGCAAAAAGTAGTTTCTGTTTTCCATTGGTATTGCTAAAAGCTATTGTAACTCTATCCACTACTAATTTAAGACAACTATGCTAAGGAGCTCTGGTAGCGTAGTGGTTATGAGTCGGGCTACTAATCTCAAGGTCAGCAGTTCAAAACTACCAGAAGTTCTGCAGGAGAAAGGCTTTCTGCTCCTGTAAAGATTTATAGCCTCGGAAAACCTATGCAGGGTCACTATGAGTCAGAACTGTGTCTATGGCACACCACCACCACCATGCTAGAGTCCTGGTGTGGCGCTGTAGAACTGGATTTCAAGGTCAGTTTAAATCACAAGGTCAGTGGTTCGAATCCACTAGCTGTTCCTCAGAAACCCTATACTGGGTCACTATGAGTTGCACTGACAACAACAACAACATGCTGGAGTGAGTTCTTTCATACTCGTTTATTTAGGGGCTCTGTTTTCACTCAATAGATTTTATGTATTTCTCATAAGCTTCTTCACTCATTAATTCAAGTTCTGATGGATTACTCAACGTCATCTTGATCGGCTAACCATCTTCTTAACAGGGTTTATTAACAAGTCCTGGGTTTTCTGGAAGTGGCTCATTAACTTCTGTCACTTCTCCTGATATAGGAGTCTAGACTTCACTAGCAGCTTCCATACTTTGCAAAGCATCAAACTCATCCTGTTTACTCAATTTTGCCCCAACTTCAGGAAGACTGCAGTAAACAACATCTCCCAAAGCTTACTGTGCAAAATTGCTGTACTCCACTGTGCCGATACCATGTTCTGTTGTCCTCCATTCACGTTTGTCTGGAAGAGAGCAGAGCACAGCACTGGCTCAGTGTCCGCATGGCATCCGGCCCGGGTCCTCAGTTCACAGGGTCGGAGGACTCGGCTGCATTTACTGTATTTTCTACACTAACAGTGTACACGTTATACTGTGGGGGTTGTTTGTTCACAAACAACCATGCACTAGCTTCTGATGTGTGCAGTGTACACACGTGTGTGTGTACCATTTATGTGTATAGATTATTTGCTAAA